AATATAAAACTCATACATGTCTACTTGTTACCAATATTAATACAATCCCAATGCTCTCGTTTGTCGCCATAGTCTGATGTGGATGTGGATTGGGCCAATAATGATGGTCTGACGGCTCTGCACAATGCGTGCTGCGGTGGCCACTGCGACATTGCGCTGTAAGTCCTTGATCTGCATTGCTATTAGAGGCATAGGTGCTTCTTTGATGTGGTTGAGTGCTTGACCTGTTTAGACGACTGACTGAGTTTCTGATGTTGTGCTGGATTATGTGATAGGCTGAAGGGTGTGTTTGTACCGTCACGGTTGCATGCGTGAGCAGCCATTTGTGCTAGTATACCTACCATCATTGTTGTATGTGACTGACGTTCGTGTAAAGGTAATGGTGCTAATCTAAGCGGACACATATCATCAATATAACATACTTCGTAGTATCTCCTCAATCGCCTTTATATTGTGAGTGTTTTCGCACCGCGGTTAGTCATTTGACCAGATTTTCGGACGCGAGCGTAGGTTGCGGGCATGCAAAACATGGTATCTCTTGTGCGCATATCTGAATATTTAATCCTGCTCACTTGTTCTTTAGTCTGCTTCTAGAGTCTGGTGCAAACCCTAATTGTCGAGACGTTGATGGATGGACACCTCTCCACGGTGCGGCGGCCTTTGAGGACGTAAGTGTACCAGAAAAGGCTCACACGACACTAGAATGGTTCAATTGGACATCTGGCCAGTGTTGTCAATAGACGGAGGTGGATGCGTGGCTATGCGCGCTACCGACACTGTCGGCAATTCATGCTGCTTTGAGAGTGAAAGCCATTTTCTACTTGCCCTAATGTAATCGAGTATTGTAGTCTGATAACGTGTTTATATTTAGCATTGGAGATCGGCTCTGTCTGCACGTGTCTGCACGTGCGTCAGAGACTGGTGCTATATCGCAGATAAAGTCGAGTAAGCGGGGATCCTGGTTTTGTCATGTTTTGCGTGCGTACGTACACCACAAACTACAGGTGAACGTTTGTGCATTACATACGCCTCGCAATACTCTCTGGGCCGCGTGAAGTACTGATGAATCATGGTGGTGTTTTAAATCGCAATACCCTTGCCCCACTTTTCTGATACAGGAACCTGTGATCGAGTGCCTACTTCATTACGGAGCAGTTATAAATATAGAAAACTCGGATGGCGATACCCCTATCTCTCTAGCTGTAAGTTTTGTTTTCGGCCTCTATACGTTTGGTGGCAGTCGCATTAGTATCCATAGAAGCTACTGCTATTGTTGCACACGTGTCTGTGTCCTTGAGCTATTCTAAAAGCATCCGGTTCCTTCTACTGGAAGTTCGGTATACTTTCGTGAGCGGTGCGCGGGAGTGTAACAAAGTCGTTGCTCGACTACAGTTTTATTGGCCTTTCGCACCTGTATAATTGAATATCTGCTTTTCTATTTCTATGTCTCAGTATCGTATTAGATACGCAGGCCTGGAGCATCCTGAAAGAGTTGTGATAAACCGTTTCTAGTTGCAAATAGTTGCGCCAGGCCAAGCGCCCTATGAACTCCCATTGATGCGTTGACTGAAATCCGGCCTTTATTTTTGATTGCTGTTATATGGTGATTACGTTCCACGCCATGCCAATGCCCTCGTACGCACATAATGTTCGGGACATTGTAGGAACACGAGAATATCAAGCGTCTACTCGAGAACCACGACGCGAAGAAGCACAGCTGCGATTACGCACGTGCTGCTTTCGCCTACACCCCACAGGTATGTGAGCATCGTGTACGATAGTAATTAGTCTCAGTCTAAGGTGCGCTTGAACCTGATGGTGGCTGCATTGATTGTGGCACAGGGACGTGGTCTATGCGAGTGACTACTGTAATGGGCAACCAAGCGTGCACGGGTGGTATATTCTCCATGGTATCGCATGCGTGCAGTGTATGCCTATTCGTCGCTCAGAACGCCGAATACACATCCAACATACACATCATACCATCACACACTGGGATTTTGCTCTACACGTAGCGCATGTTTGCACCGTATGGCCTATGGTTACGCAACCGCATACGGATGGCTCAAAATTTCGTTTAGTTCGCTCGAACAAGGCATACACGACACTATGCTCGATTGTCATTTGCAAGTTTGTTTTATAAACCATGTTGACACGGGCGATGATTACTTCCGTGATACCGAACACTTAGAATTCCGATGAATTGGCTCTGGAGATTGGGGAAATAGTTGAAGTGGACCATAGCAAGAACGAGAGTGCAGATTGGTGGTGGGTTACCAAATACGGCATGAACATACAGGGTTTCGCTTGTAGCCGGTTCCTCATTGCAATTAATATAGGCGACCTCCCTTATCCGAAGCAATCTGAGGGAGTGCTTTCCGAAACAACTCGATTTCAAGAAAATCTACCACAGGAACTTGGAGATTAAACTTCGATGTTGTATTGCTGTAGATCTAACACAAAAACACAATATTTATGTCGGGTACGGATTCACAAGTACTGTTCATGGCGACAAGTAACACACTGGAGAACGAATACAGATGCGGGTCGGATTGTCGATCCTTAAATATATGGTACGAGAGATAATTCGACCGTAATGGCCCTCATCATCAACTACCGCGATAGTATCACAAGCATGGGCCCTGCGCTGACAGTTCCAACATTCGCCATCACAGCAGTGCCTGAAATCAGTAGGCGAACACAAACACGCCACAAATTGATTGCCCGTTGACTATTATCGAAAAGTTTAAACTAGTGATACACTGCTTCACTGTAATTAAAGTAGAACCTTTTGTTTATATTTGTTTTGCTATTGTTTCTCATCGCTTGAGAGGTACTCGCCGTCTGACACATTCTCACTGTTGAGTTGATCATCGCTAACGTCACTTAAACACTTAGTTTCACTATCGTCTCCAGTGCCGATTTGACTTTTGCTCGCAGAATGTTGGTCTGAGAACTCTGCACCAGAATCTACTATACCCTGCCCAGTTTGTTGAACGTAATTTTGTGCGGATAAGACTACTTTTCGACAGTGTCATATTCACAGCAGAGTTGTTCCATCTCGGCGGGGGTGAATGTTCGTACAGCCGTGGCTAACGCCCTTGAAATGACTGACTTCTCCTTCTCTGATAAGGTACATGCGAAAAAGTGCTCAATCATCTCAAAACTCTCGATATCCCGAATGAATCCCAGGTCTATATTCAAATTTACCCGTCCAGGCCTGATCAATGCCGGATCCAGGTTTTCAGGGTGATTTGTGGTCATGATCACAATGCGGTCGACGCAATCCACGATACCGTCCAACACATTCAATAGACCCGCTAAATTTAGCGCATCATTGCCAGAGGTGAACATGCTTTCCCTCTTGGTTTTTGGGCCATTTGAGCTGATTAGATCACTAAGCGTTGAGACCGTCTCGTCTATATTAGATTTCGTGCTGCCCGACTCGTCTGTCTTACTATTGCGAGCGAAACCGATTTTGCTGGCACAGTCGATATCCTCAATAACGAAAACAACCTGCTTGAACTTAAGCTTCATTGGTAGGTCGTCCTGCTTGATAGTGTAGCACTGATCAAACATAACATCCATCAACTCTTGATTAGTCGTGATTCTGGCCAGAGGTATACTAATTATATGTCGTTGCGAGTGCTGAGCCAATGCTTTAATCAGACTGGTCTTCCCCGTGCCAGGTGAACCGTGTAGTAACAGTGTCAGCCTCTTCGGATACGACCTTATAGCATACTTCCCCATCCTGTTCTTAAAGTGTGAGAGCAATCGCAACAATGCGGCTTCCTGTCGGAAGAACATGGCATCGAACGTCTTATCTTCGCTTAGCTCGTATCTCTTGTACATTTTACCGTCATCGTCAATCGAATTCCCAGAAGAACCTCTCATGACATACATATATCGCGCAAGTGTCTGCCTGGGCTGCAACATAAGATATATACCACTCGAATGCGGTGACCACAAACGCATCGACTTTTTGCTTGCCATCTCCGCCCTCACAACTAACTGTGAAAGTGATAGTTGTTTTCAAGACTTGTGAGCCTTTGTCTTTTTCGCCACCTTCACCCTCGTCATTCGCTTTATTCCGCATGTTGATTGTAACACCGTTGCCTATATCAACTGGAACGTTCAACGGGGGTTCCGTAATGATCTCGAACGCCTTAAGTTGACTGAGCTCGGAGCTGTCATAATTTTTTTCGTAAGGGTTGTGCCCCTGGGGTTTATCCGAAGGCTTCTCGACTAACTTAAACCGGCCGCCAGAGAAGGACAGATCACAATTTTTGGTTACGTATAGCAACAAGGCTTTCTGGAGCACCAAGTTATGTTGGTCAGAAGGGCTATAATAGCCATATTTAATTCGCATCGCCACGTGTTCGATATGGCGATGATAATTTTTCGGTGCGTTTTTAAATAGAAGCTCCCACACCATACGACTGTAACGTGGAACATCCCGTATGTATGCGATAATAGTACTGAAGACAATCGATATAATCAGACAAACCAGAAAATCAATAGTAGTATTTCTGCTGCGAGAAACGCATCGACTTTCATGCCGAATTGAGCAGGGCCCGTGAGGCTTTCGATGTCGATCATAGTTGTATTCGTGTTAAATATTGGAATCGAAGCAGAGACAATTTGAGCTCTATCTATAATCCTATATACACGAGAGAGGGTATTCTATTGTATGGTATGTACTTCCACAGATATTTTCGGTGTTAAAAAGGGTGTATATTTACTGTATACAGTAAACACACATCAACTTGTGTGTGAAACGAATCAACGATCGAACGCCGTTATCGTGATCTGAAACTTTTCGTACAGATTTGAACCAAAGAGTGTACGCCAGAGGGTGACCCGGCACACAACCCCAACGGAGGACAAGCAATACAATACTGAAGATCTATTGGCCGATGGAACTAGGGTTCGCAGATCTGATGAGTCAAATGTACTCATTTGTTTTGCTCTTGATGGAATCTCTGATGTCACTCAGTCTGACAGTCCAATTGACACTCTGACAGTTGACAGTGACAATCGACAGACCGACACTCCGTCAGTCGCTGTGAAACATTTATTTGTTCTGTTTTTAAAAGACCAAAAAAACAAAACAAAACACATATATAGTGACATACAGTGTGACATGTGACAACTGACTAGAGTGTGTACTAAAGCTCACTGAGAAATAGTCATATGTAAGTATAATATATATATATATATATATATATATGTGTGTATGAAGAACAAAATTATAGGGATGCCATCATGAAATTATATTACATATATTATACAATAAAAACCTGT